CTAGTAATACAGCTAAGTTGAGTGTCGCAGGTTCTCATACATATAGTCGGTCTGCAATGCCTGGAGGTAGTAGTCTCCTGGGTGGAATGTTATGCGAGGAAGAACCTGTACAAGAACACAAAAATCTGTAGACTTGTTAAAAACAATAGTTGCTATACAGGGTGAGAGGCCGAAATTGCAGGCCCAAGACGTTCCTGGAGGTGGAATGAGGTAATTATTTGGCTTGAACTCTGAATGAAGCTGGGCACAGAGTCATGCTACCAGTGCTGGTGGATGGCTGGAGTCCCCAAGACAGGTCCCTATACCTGAGACATCAGGGAGAGTCAGCTTGTGGTGATTGCCCCAGTCATAGGCAGATGAACTAGAAGAACTGTTAAAGGTTAAATTGATGGCTTTTCCTTCCTAATATGGGGGAGGAGCAGCCAAGCATAAGATGTCTGTTTTTGGAGGGTAGGTTGTCTCTGTTACCGGGAACATCATCGTGGGAAGACTGCGCGGCGGACCTGAGATGGGCGCCATCTTAGGGAGTGGCAGACCGGAAACGGTTGCCATCTTAGGGGGGTTTGTGTGTAATGTTTAGAGCTCTAAAGTGACTCTTTTGTATATCCTTAGTTAATTGAACTTGTTATTGTAGATCATGAAATTGTTCCTCCAATGAAAGAAGGGCAAGAGATGGGCCGGGTGGTCGCTGAAGACCGGGGGGGGGGGGTGTAGTTTAACAGCAATGGGAGCCACAACCGGGGGGGAATGGTATTGGGCAGCCTCTTCCACTAATTGTGACCAATCTACTTCCTGGCAATTGGAAAGGTCAGGGTAGATAGAGCAGTACGGAGGAGGGAGCATGGCGGCGCCATTTTGAGTACCAGGGCAGTGCACGCCATTTTGAGTACCGGGGCAGTGCACGCCATTTTGAGTACCCTCGTGGCCTCCAGAAAAAGGAAGTGGCAGCAAGTCGCCATCTTGAAAAAGCTCTGGGATATCAAGAACCACAGAGCCGGGAGGGCTGGGTACTTTAGATAAGTCCAGTGGTTGCGGAGTACAATTGCAGGAGGCAGATAATGTAGCCTCACCCTGAGCGAGCATCTCTGCAATCTGGGGATCTGCGTGACGCTGTGTCAGCAGCTCAGAGATTAAAGTCCAATATGAAAAGGCGGTTACCGGGACCTTTTCTGGGCCAAAAACCCCATAATAGTCCTTGAGAGCATCTCCTACTCTTTTCCATCTATTTGAATCGATGGTGCCCTCTAGAGGGAACCATGGACACACTGAATGTATAAACTGAAAGTACTGTAGCAAGTCTTTAGTCTTAATCTTAATCCCTCTAATCTTGAGTGCCTCCCTGAGGCCATTCACGAACAATTCATGTTCACTAAGTGCTTGCTCCATACCAATCTCGTTCACCTACCGTGATTCAGGTGAGATGTAAGGCGGCCATCTGCACGGATCACAGGGACGAAGTCCCAGAACAGTCACGCCGGCCGGTGATTTACTCCCGTGAACGGTCCCGCGTCGGTATCCCTTGTGCCAGGTCAAGCCCCCATGCTGGGCACCACTTGACCCAAACTGCTGATCGGTCCATAGGCCTTGCTTGGAGAGGGGACAGGGATGGGGGCTGGGCAAGAGAAAAGAGAGACGAGGACAAGTTGACCAGTTCCAATCAATTCCCGTTTATTCAGGAAGTATACATGGCTTATATAGAGTCAAAGAGGATGTGGCTTCACAGGATGGGCTGGCTTGGATCTCCTCATATGCCGTGGGCCTATCAAACTAGCAGGAAGTTATATGTAGGCACATAGGTAAGTGGAAGTGATGTCAACAAGAGGGGATTATGGGAGATGTAGGCTGAAGCGGGAAGGTGCTTACGTCATGTGCATTGTAGGCAAGTGGAGGATCATGGGAAATGTAGGCTGACACACAAAATGCCCTCAGGTGGGAGGGGCAGGACAGCAGCAGCCATTCTGAGCCACTCCCTACAAAAACCAGAGGTTTCCAGTTGTACAGGATGTAGAGAGAACCCTATACCAGCTATTTGCCAGGGGAGCTGCATTCTCATGGTATCGTGCCACTCAGCTCCCAAAAAGTCTGCTCGGGACCCCAGCATTCTCTTATATATATTTTATGTTGTTTCACTTCTTCTCCTCGAGTAATATTTTATTTTTCATTACACTGTCAGGTTTCATGGCTTCTTTTTGAGGGTCTAATGTTTTCTTACTAAGGCTGTGTCTTATGAATGAATTTCCCAGCCATCAAACAGAAATCTCAGAGCAGACATATATCGACTGTCAAATTTTCGTTGGGACATGTGCATAAGGACAGAAATGTCCCCTTGGCTCTCACAGCAAAGGGCCTAGAGGAGCCAAACCCACGGAGACCCTCAAAGGGTCCGGGCTGGGGGCAACTTCAACTGAAGAAGATAAGCATTCACTAGGACTCTAAAATTAATTTTATTTACATACCATATTTATTTTACTATTACTGGGGATTGAGCCCAAGGCTGTTCTGCCATTTGAGCTACATCTCTAGGGTTCGTTTTGTTTTGTTTTGAGACAGTCTCCCTAAGTTGCCAAGGCTGACTTCAAACTTGCAATCTTTCTGCCTTCCCAAGTTGCTGGGATTACAGGTGTCTAGCAACACACTTGGCTTTATTTTGTTTTGTTTTATTTTATTTTATTTTTAGCTGATACAAACAAAACTTGTCCACAGTAAAGGGATACTTTGTAATGTTTCAATGCAGGCATTCATTTTTAAATCATGTTAAACATTATCTCTTCAAACATCATTTTTAAGGTGAAAATTTGCAGTCTTGTCTTCTACCTTTTTGAAATGTGTAGTGCCAGGTTATTATTTGTAAACACTCAGCTATGCAGTAGCACCCACAGTTGCATCCCCAAACCTCTCCCGTCCTGCCCAGCGGCTAGGAACCACTGTTCCACTCAGCATCTGTGAGGTCAGCTCCTGAGGTGTCTGCATACAAGTGAGGCCCAGTGCTTGTCTGACTATAACTGGCTGTCCACACAATGTGACGATCTCCAGGCACAGCTGCGCTGTCCCCTTGACAGGACTTCATGTTCTTATGGCTGAGCAGCATTCCATGGTGTGTATGTCTCATGTTCTTTTCATCTACTCACCAGCAGATGGACCCTCTGGTTGTGTCAGTGTCTTGGTGCTACTGTGATTCTGGAGGTGCAGGCATCACTGGAACACATGGACTCATTTCTTTTCCTGGAGTGGGTGTGCTGAGACATACAGTGGTTCTAGTTTTTGTTTTCTCAGTACCTCCATACTGTTTCCATAATGACCACATGGACTACATTCCTACCATAATGTGAGAAGGTTCCTTTGTGTCCACATCTTCACCAGCAACTGCTAGAAGAGAAGCATTTTTCAGAGGCAAAGCTCTAGTACCTGGAAACTAAAATTTTGTTATGACTGCAAAATGAACTGTAGAATGAGCCAATGTGGAATGTGTTACTTTTCAGCAGCTGTGTAACAAATTAGCAAAAACTTAGCAAGTTGGAACAGTGCATAATTATCCTTTTACCACTTCCCTGGGTTAGGAGCCTGGGTTCTGTGGCAAGGTTTCATTCAACCTGCCTGCTTGCATACTTGGAGCTCAGGCAGTTTTTCAAGTTCCAACTGTTGGCTACTTGTGGTTTTGGGGAGTGAGGTACCCTGCAGAGGCACATGGTGGCTGCTTGTGTTGTCAGGGTTGGCTAGAGAGGCTATCCCTCGCATCTGCTAAGACACAGTCTTACACAGTCAATCAATCGTGTTAGCTTTGTCACTCTGACAGAGTATATGAGAAAAACCACTTGCAAGGGGAGAGGTGTATCTTGGCTATCAGTTTCAGCAGTTCCAGTCCATGGCTTTGTTTCTGGGCCCACTGTGAGGCAGAGCATTATGAGGGAGCCAAATTGCTCACATCATGGAGGAGAGGAAGGTGCCTCCACATTCAAGGAAACACTGACAAAGGTGTACCCAGAACTGTGCCTTCCTAATCCTCCTCAGTGTTTCTTGGTCCAGTCAGATTGACAGGCAAGATTCATCATCTTAGTGATGACCATGGAAGGGTCAACTTGTCAACCTCACCCGATGTGCTAACCACCTCCCTTTTGACATAGTCTCTGTAGGACTCTGAAATGAGTCCTGCCCACACACAAGTGGAGGGAATTACATAAGGCAGGACTCACTTCCAGTCCTTCCATTCATTGTAAAATGTAAAAGTTTGCTGACCTTGAAGGGACCCAAAATGAGTGAACTTCTGCCGGCCTCCTCGCTCTACTGACCAGCTGAGCACTGCTGCTGCTGGACTAGGTTACCCACGCTGACAGATGCATTCTGGTTTAACCGCATTCAGAAGACCTGATTCTTCCAGGTGCTCGGTTGTCCAGCTCCCATGGTTGTGAGGAAAACCAGACATGGTCTCTGCACCAGCCTCACATGCAAGCACCGGAAGTCATCTCCAGCCCAGCACGAGAGTTCTGTGGAGAGGTGCAGATGCTCCATGTGTTCTGGCTGGCCACTGGAAGCCCTGGTCTGCTGTAGACAGGACATTAAGGCAGCGGACGTGTCTTAACAGTTCAGCTCCTTGTTTGTAGCCGTCTTCCCTCTTGCCTCTGCACAAAGCGACCACTGGGTTTATCAAAAGTTTGAGTGAAAGACACTGCACTCCTTCCTTTCTCCAGGACCATGTGACCATTTTTGAAGGGGGAACAGTGACACCATGGCTTGTTTAATCTACTCCTCCTGCTCGCAGCAACACTGAGCATGTGTGCAGCTGCGTGTGTTGGGGTAGGGTGTAGATTTTCCCCGAATAAACAATCACTTGTTGGTTTTCACTGTTATCCTGAATTTGGCTTTCTTAACATGCTTTTTACCTTGTCTGTTCCTGTCTTATAAATTATGCCAGGTTGTCACTTAGAGACAGATACAGATGTAGACAGAGTTGTAGATTTATGTAGATGAATAAAGATATAAAGTGGTTTTTTATTTCTTTGCAGTGCTGGGGATCGGGCCCAGGAGCACATGCATGATAGGTGAGCACTTTACCACTGAGCTACAGCAAAACTGAACATGAACCACATGTTAATTACTGTCATGTGTGTAAGAAAACGGACGTTCGTTATTTTTTTCAGTACCCTTGAAAAGAATGCAGAGAAAAATGCAGGCCATGTTTCAGTGTTCTCTCTGTGATTTCTTCCTAACAGAGGGTGGCTCCCACTTCGTGAAGACCTCATCGTCGCGAGGTGGGGCTAAGATGAGCATAACCAGCGACGAGGTGAACTTTCTGGTGTATCGGTATCTCCAGGAATCAGGTAAGAGGCTCACTCTGGCCATGCTTTGTCACAGACAAAGTGGGATTCTCCCAGTGAGTCATCTGCTTTCTGCGAAGTAAAGTTTACTGTGAAGTGTTAATGCATGAAGATATTTAAGACTTACAGAATAGTCTCAATGAATACACATATTGGTGCATTGGCACACCAACCCACCCTACTCAAGGGAGAAACCATCTCCGATGTGGTATCCATGCCCGCCATGTTCCCCTTCCTAGTGCCTCACCCCATGTCACATTTCTTAATCCACTCCCAGGGACCTTGTGAATTTACTAAGCATGAATGTTTTCTTTTTCTTTTTTTTTTTTTTTTTTTATTTAAAGAAAGACAAAACAAAATAGAAAACAGGCAAAATTAGTACACACTTTCAAAGAAAAGAAATAAACAGTAATAAATCACTAGTTGATGTATACATATTGTCCCTCCACAAATAGTTGTTCAAGATACACAAGTGGAACGTATAAATGGGAATTCAACCAGGGAGACTGCAAACAGTTCTGTTCAACTATCCAACAAAAACTAAGTAACATGGCTATCAATCCTATACACTTAGACATGTCCAAATTTATCCATATCTTCATTTATGTTGAGACCTAACAAAACTTACTAGATTAAAATCCTTCTGAACAAAGATTAATAATATTGCTGGATTTCACATCATAACACTCTGGAATCAGCAGTGGGTACTGCAGTGCCCCTTTCTTTCCTTCAAAGTATTTGTTCATTTCATCATGTGTCATAAGATCAGTTCTCGTAAACTGTTTATAGGTTTTACGCAAGCATGAGTCTTAACATGTATTTCTATCCTTTCTATATTAGAGGGAGAAACAGAACAAAGCAGGACAGAACTAAATTTTTTCCTATAGACACATAAAACTAAAAAGACATATAAAACTGCTGTATAAGGAGTTCTACCATGGTCACTGTGTTGTTTCTTGTTATCATCAACAGAATTGGCTATATCATCAGATAAAGTATAATTGAACCTATCAGTACATAACATGATTAACAGAAATACAACTTTGTAGATAGTGTAGAGCTACAGAAACAGGTAGTAATCAAATCAGAATGGATATCATGGTGAATCATTGTCATTTTCAGTATAGTTGTCTATACTCCTCAAGATATAGACAAGATATATTCCTCCTCAAGATTGTCTATACTCCTTAGGTTGATACCAGCAACCTAACAGTTTTAAATAAAATCTGTCAATAATAAGCAGCAATCAAACAAGTCAAATTTACCTAAGATCAGTCATGATACAACAGTATAAGTTATACAGGGATCCTGATTGAGTTAATAGGAAATTAAAGATGACCACTGTGCTATGTCCTGATATCTTCGGGACAGCTATCTGTGCCCTCAAATCCAGTGTTTGTATACAAACTAGGACGGACAGAACAAGTTCCAACCAAGCAGAGTGGTGCGAGTAATATGGGTTTTAATTCCTGATACACTCTTAGCTATATCTTCTGCTGTTTCTTTTTTTTTTTTTTTTTTTTTTTTTGAAGACTATTCCTCCCCTTCACTCCCCCAGAATGAACTGTGTATTTTTGGGTCTTGCAAACACTCACAGTTTTGTACTGGGGGGGGCAACCTGCTATTTACCTAAGTGTTTCTGAACTTTCTCACTCCTGGGCTGGATTTCTAGTTATATTTCTTCATTTATTAAAGCCTATCTGTTCAACCTATCCATAAATACTGGTCTAGTTATCCCTGTTACTCTCTGGTTCCCTATCACATCGAGTTCCGTTTTCTTATATTTGATTTTGGTCCATATAACCTTCTTCAAGCTAATTATATTTCTTATAAAGAGCCTCTTGGTGGACCCTACCTCTTGATCCACTTTGCCTGCGATTCTTTTTCTCTCTTAAGTTAGTGTATCTAGGCCATCTATATTAGAAATTATATCCAACCTTCTTTGCCTCATCTCTGTTGTGCTCTTTTTCTGTCATTAGTTGTCTGTTTGTCTTCTTCATTTCGTTTTCTGCTCCATTCATTTTAGCCTCTCTGCCACTGTTTCTGGAATCCTGGTACCTTTCTCTCTCTTTAGAATGTCCTGTAGTATTCTCTGTAGAGTTGGATTGGTGGTTGTGAATTCCCCCAGTTCCTCTTTATCTTGGAAGCATGTTGTTTTTAGGGACAGTTGTGCAGGATATATCAATCTTGGCTGGAGGTTATTGTGTTTCTTTTTTTTTGTTTTGTTTTGTTTAAGGAGAAATAGGGAAAAAACAGAAAAAGGGTACAAGTAATACAAAATTTAAAAAATAAACAGTAAGAAATCACTAGTTAATAGATTACATATTCTTATCTTAGAAATAGTTGTTCAAGTTACATTACTGAAGCATATAAAGTGGACTTTCAAACAGTGAGAGTGCAAACAGTTTTGTTCAGTGGTCCAAAAAACACTCAGTAATATGGTTATCTATCTTATACACTTAAACATATATACAGTTATAACCTTTAGAGCACTTTCTTTTCTTTTCTTTTGTACAATGACAATTACACATTTTGGATTTTATTACTCCCACAGTTCTTATTACTTTTTTTGAAGAGAGTAAAACCAAATGCGACATATCAGAACAGAGTCAGTCAAATTAAAAGGATGGACATAATAAATAATGTAAAAACAAAATATAAGGTGATCAACAATGGTTAGCATACTGCCTCTTGCTATTTTAAGAAGAATTGGCAGTTGTAATAAAATTGAACTAAACAGTAAAGAATAAAACCAAAGCATTGGAAACATTACAGGATTTTAAAAGAAAATAATAGTCAACTGGAATGGGCGTCATAATGATTCTTATTGTCTTCACAGTTATGCCTATACTTTCAAACTTGGTACTATCAAGCAAAACAGAATAGAGGAAAATCAGTCAAAACAAGATGGTGAGGGCAATACAGGATTTCAAATCAAGTTAATAGGAAATCAAAGTAGGTTAACTAAAATGTATCCTGCTATTTTTTATTTATTTTTCCCTCAATTAAAAACATAAAAAGAAAAAAGTAAATAATTCAAAAAAAGGGGATTGAGATACACGAGGGCATAACAACAGAACAGTGCAGGTCAACTCATAACCATTTGAGCAAAATAGTGTTTCACCACAAGATATCCTGACATAAAAATAGTTGCCATAGTGTCTCTTTCCTTGAAATTTTTGAGTATAACTTCGTATACTGTAGCACCAAACATATCAAGACACTATCAAGCCATTCAAGAGAATGGCATTATTACAAAGAATTTAGGACCTATTAACAGAAAATGAACAATGGTTTCTATATAAACTCCTTGTCTATAAAAGTTTTTGCTTATATTATCATATATAATAAAATCCAGTAAGATACAACCTTTTAAGACCAATGGAGACAGAATAATACAAGTTTGATGGGACTTCAAAACAAGATGATACTAAATCAGCACTAGCTATTATGATGTCTTGTTTTCTCCAAAATAGCTGTTCCTACCTTCTGATCTTCTCTGCCTCATTTCTGTTGAGCTCTTTTTCTGTCGCTTGTTGTCAGTTTGTCTTCTTCATTTCGTTTTCTGCTCCATTCATTGTGGCCTCTCTGCCACTATTTTTGGAATCTTGGTATTTTCCTTTTTTAGACTATCCTGCAGTATTCTCTGTAGAGTTGAATTGGTGGTTGCAAATTCCCCTAGTTCCTCTTTATCCTGGAAACACCTTGTCTTTCCATCAATTTCTAAGGACAGTTGTGCAGGATATATCAATCTTGGCTGGAGGTTATTATCTTTCAAAGCTTGAATTATTTCCCCCCATGCTCTTCATGATTTGATGGTTTGTGCCGAGAAGTCTGCTGTAATTCTGATAGGTGTTCCCTTGTAAGTGATCTGTTTTTTGTCTCTGGTGGCTTTTAATATTCTGTTCTTATATTGGATTTCTGGAATTTTGATTATTATATGCCTGGGTGTAGCTCTGTTTGGGTTGTAGGTGGCTGGAGTCCTGTATGCCTCATATATCTGAATATCTTTACCATTTGCTAAATTAGGGAAATTCTCTTGGATTATTTCTGTGAATAGCTTTTGTAGTCCATTTGTTTGTGTCCCCACTTCTTCTCTTATGTTCTTAATTCTTAAGTTATAGATTCTCTTATCATCTTCTAGCTTTTGTATTGTTGCTGTTTGTTTTTTTGTTATTTTTAAGAAGTTTTTCATTTCATGCTCCCATATTACAAATCTGCCCTCCAGTTCAAATAATCTATCCTTAGTTTCTTTTAAGCTGTTATGCCAGTTTTCGATAGTTTTTAGTTTCCTGGTAATCTCTTTGAACCTGCTTCACGTATTCTATGTTTTCTCTATTTTCTCCATCAAACAATTCTCTTTTTTCTGATCTTCCATTCCACCATGTGTTTTTTCTTGGGCAGTGTTTAGCATTTCTCTAACTATTCTACTTATATCTTGCTTCAGGTCATTAATAACTTCATTCCTGAACTCGTCTATGAGGCTCTGGAGATAGCGCTTTATGTCTATTGGTGGCATGTCTGCTATTGCATGTTTCTCAGGATTGGGGGCCGAGGACCCTTTCTTGTTGCTCCCTGTTCCCATATTCTTTGTTCCTTATATATAAGTGTATATAGGAGGCCTAGCTTCCTTCCTTGTCAGCCACAGTCTGTTTGAATTGCGCTGGATAGGTGTTCCTGCCCACAACAGCGCACCAGGGAGACACAGACCTGGGCAGTCTATGCCGGGCCCGCCTCTCCAGGTCAGCCTCCCAAAGGCTTCACCGCTAGGGTGCACCTCCAGGCACTGGGACCTGGGTTGGGCTAGCCTACTGGATCTCAGCCAGCGGCATCTCACAGGCCAGGCACTCTCCACCAATCCCGCTTGAGCGGAGGATATGTGACTGAAGTCATTACAGCATCTCGTTCCAGGAAGTCTGCCTGGGCTGAGTATGTCCTCCGCTGAAGCCTCCTTCTCTATGGAAGGGTCCCAATCCGCTCACTCACCACAGGTCGATGCAGGG